GAAGCCCAGTGGCTGCTCCACGTGCTTGACACTGGAGTTCCCTCAGCCCTGCTGGGGGGCAGGTCCCCGCTGCTGCTCCCCACAGCTTCCCTGGAGAGTCATCCCCAAGGAGTCCCAGATTGGAGAGGGTGCAGGCTGGGCTGAGGGACAACCCCTCCCCCCCCCCCGTGCACAAATTTTATGCACTGGGCCTCTAGCATTTCAATAAAACTGAAAGAAATAAAAAGACTAAATCACTGATATCCACCAATACCAGTTCTGCTCAATACTGTACTCTAGCCAGCAGAGAAAGGCATGCAAAGGGGTAAAAGTACAAAGATTAGAAAGGAAGAAACAAATTATCATTAACCATGGAGATCTATATTTAGAAAGTCCAAACGCGTCGACATGGAGAATTTTAGCTCACAGTACTATGGAAGGTTACACAATCACTTGAGGCCACCTCTATTGTTCATTCAAACTGCACATGTTCATTGAGCAGGTGCTCAATACTACACATGGGTTTTTGTTAAAGCACCTCTGTCCCAGTGACACATCTCTCAATCACTAGGACAATTGTTAAAAATACAGATTTATGTTTTTTGTTGTTTTTTATTACCACCCCAGGTTATGAAATCAAAATATCTACAATTTAGACCAGTCGACATAGGACCTGGGAACCTTCACTCTTCAAATTCCCCAGTGATTCGTTTGTCTGCTAAACCATTATGCAAGATTCCAGAGCTGTGCTACAATTCTGTTTTACTTATGATTCATAGCAATATTACTAAATAATATTGATCAATTATAACCCAATAAGGTTCTCCCTTCGAATCCTAATCCATTTCATTTACATCTTATTTTAACCCATCTGTTTTTGAAATCTCTCTCTTATTCAATTAATTTCCTTGGCCCCTCTGATGTCAACACAGCAGAAGGTCTACAAAGCATATGTTCAAAGTAATACTAGTTTCTCACCCAAAAACACACGAGAAATAAAAAGAGAATGAATGTGATTTGTTGTGTTTTCTGGTAAAATAACAAAAAATCCCAAGTAGCAGAATATTTTTAGTAGAAAGGCAATTTAATATTATCCATTTATTACTCTATATGTAAAATATTTTAACTCTTTCAAACAGTCCCTAAAAGTTTCCTCAAAAAAGTACAATATAGCCCTGACCGATTTGGCTCAGCAGATAGAGCGTCGGCCTGCGGCCTCAAGGGTCCCAGGTTCGATTCTGGTCAAGGGCATGTACCTTGGTTGTGGGCACATCCCCAGTGGGGAGTGTGCAAGAGGCAGCTCATTGATGTTTCTCTCTCATCGATGTTTCTAACTCTCTATCTCTCTCCCTTCTTCTCTGTAAAAAATCAATAAAATATATATATTTTTAAAAGTCCAATATAGTGAAAACTACTTGCTGCTAATCCTGATGTTTGGCCTAGACTAGGGACCAATTCCCAGTTTAAATGTACAGGCAAACACTACTTTGCATTTCTTTTCTTTTTTTAATATATTTTTGTTGATTTCAGGGAGGAAGGGAGAGGGAGAGAGAGATGGGGATATCAAAGGTGAGAATCATTGATTAGCTGCCTTCTGCACACCCCACACTGTGGACCGAGCCTGCAGCCCAGGCACGTACCCAGACCAGGAATCAAATTGTAGCCTCCTGGTTCATAGGTCAACACTCAAGCACTGAGCCATGCTGGCTAGGCCATAATTCCTGGGCCACACTGAATTTCTGATGATGAACAAGGATTTAGAAATAATGGTCAATATAGGGTCTTAAGAGTGTATACTCAATTCTCTTCTGGTAGTGCTTTGTTCATATCTGTTATAGCACTTAACTCATTGTATTGTAATAAATTGTTTTACATTAAAAAATAATAATAAATAAATAAATGTACAGGCAAATAATTAATACAGAGATTTTAAAAGCACAGTTGTGTGAGGGACTTTAACCACACCATGACCCTGACCTAGAGGGCAGCATTATTGTAACTATTTCTAAGCATTACAACACAGAGCTCATTATGAGTCAGACATTACCATTTACAAAACAGCTAACAATGGATTTGGCATTAACTTTATAATACATTTAATCATCACTTCTACCGGCAAGGATCTAATTTTACTTGAAAAGAAAATATACACTGTGGTACTCCTAATGACCTAATGGATTATGAGATTTAAATTATTTTTAGAAAATCATCTCCCATTGCTCCCCTAAACTTGTGCCAGCTGAATTGAATAGCTAGTTTCCCTAAAGAAATACACAAACGCCCACCCACACATTCATTCATATTCTCCCTTCTTCTTCTTCCCCTTCCTCTTCCCCTCCTCCTCCTTCTTCTCCTCCTCCTCCTCCTCGTCGTCCTTCTTCTTCTTCTCTCTCTTCTCTGTGGGCAATCAATTGATGTCTCTCTCACATCATTCTCTCCTCTCTCTCCTCTCTCTCTCTCTCTCTCTCTCTCTCTCCTTTACAGCCAGAATAAATGTTGAAGTGTCATCAATCCTTCAAGGCTATCTCCAATGCTACTTTGTCCACAATCAAACTGGATTGTTTCACTGATGGGTAAAGTCTCTGACATTTTCTTAATTCCATCTTGTATAGTGAGGTGCTGAGAGTAGATGCTAGATTTTACTTCACTTTGGAACATGCCCTACCTTCCTCACCTCCAGTGCCTTACAAAAAGGAGGTTCTCAATAAATTACTCTTGGTGCTCTTTCAGTCAATGTGCCAACTCATCAAATTAGTTTGGTTTTTCCTACCCAAATAAGTAAGTCACATTTCTTCAATATATCCTTCTTCACAAAAAGAGTAATAAGCCCATTAAGAAAATACACTTTTTACCTAAAAGTAAGCACAGTAACTTAAACTGTTAGAGATAAATCCGCAGCCCAAAGCCGTGGTGCTGTTCCTATTATATGCACCATAGACCGGAGCTGCTGCCTTCCAGTACCTGCCAGTGTTCCCAGCAGGGCCCTTATTTGTGCCGAGACCACACAGACATCTTGTACAGAAATCACGTCTTTTCAATCCAGGAAAAATATCTGAGCCACCCTTACAGGGCTTGGTATTTAAATGACAAAGAAACAAAGAAGATTTAAAAATCAAGACTGCCGCATTAAGCAAGTGACCCAAACTTTGGTCATGAGAATATTAAGCAAAACTAAGTTATTTTAAAAGAAAGTAGAAATAAGGAATAATGAAAGAGGCAAGAATAAAACACTAAGAGCAAAATAAATTTATACATAAGACAACTATTTTTCAAAATTCTTGCTCGGCTTTGGATGTTCTGTTTGCCTCCCAGCTACAAACACATTCTTCACACACGCTGGGAACGCTGCGGAAAACTAGTCAGCATTCAGAGGCTTAACCCACCGTCCCAGTGCTGTGCCTGTGGGCCCAATCCCCAGACAGCCATTCGTCCTCAGGAGAAGTTAGGGGTTGAAATGCAAATATGCAAACAACGGAATTCTCCCTCTAAAATAGCTGGAGAAAGCATGATCTCTATTGCTATTCTTTTTAAAAAGGAAAGGGGCGGGGGAGAGAAGCTTGCAATCTTAAGGACTTGTGTAAGTACCTTTGTGGACATGCTACCTGACTACTTCAGGGAAGGCCTGCAGGGCAAGACCTGCATGGCAGTCTTGCAAACTCAGAGACCGAAAGCAACCACAAAAGATGGTCTGAAATTAAAACTTCTTAACGAAAGCAGTTTGTTGTGGGTAGTCATGTCCTAGGCTGGTATCTTCCCTGAAAAAGTCAATCTTTACCTTAACTGAGCCTGTCTAGTGTCTTTTGACATCTACAATAACATACTGTTGTAATGTCAAAGTAATTTTCCTCTTTCTGGACCCCTCAAAGCACAGGCACCGCTCTGCGGAGACCACAAATCCCCTCATTGTTATTGAGTTAATTGTTGACTGTTAACTATCCTGCACCCACCTAAGTAAAAGAAGTGTGTCTATCTATCATTTTACTATCCAATCCCAGAGGTTTTCCTCTTTGCTTTCTCCCGCCTCCCTAATCTATCACCAATGGATTTCATGTAACCCACTTACAGCTCTTCCTTTGACTGTAATGTATAAAACTAGGTACAAAACTGCCCTTCTCTGGAGCATTATCTCAACCCGTTGAAATTCTGCTTCCTGGCAATTGTCAACAGTTTGGCTCAAATAAACTCACAACATTCTTTACAAGTTTGAATGCTTTTATGTTAACACCAGCATCATGCAGTATCCATAGAGAATATAGAGACAATTTCTGATTGGAGGAGGCAAAACTTCATGGGGGAAGTTATGTGAGGGGTTTAAAGGATGGGTTGGGCTTCAATAGATGTAATTAAACTAGAGAATAAGAAGCTATAGACCAAACGCATTACTCTAAAATTGTAATCTTTTTGCTATTAGCAAGATGGCAGAATTTTTTTTTTCCTCTTAAGTCTCTTCTCTGGGCTCCTGCAGGGAAAGCA